TGATGGAACAAAAATCATTTTCTGGTTGGTCAGTATTCCTTCCATCAGGGCCTCTACAACTTCTTCAATCTCCAAAATCTTTCCAAGCCTACACAGGAAAGTATACGTGTAAGAGCTATGGTGGTAAAACAGGGGCGGTACTAGCTGATGTAGGATGCTTCACATGGGCACAAACTCAGGTAATTCAAATGCAACCATAATGTGGGTTAAATGACACTGCAGATTTTCTGTAGCCAATGCTATATACCGATTTATCTCCGGTTTTATATAGTCAGTTGGAATACAAGGCCTAAAGGTGGGGCTAGTATGTAGTGCCTCGATGCAAAGAAGGGCGAGCAGGAAGGCAGAGTTCTGATAGTTACCTCGTACTGGGGTTTTTGACAAATCCAGTGTTTATAAAAACCGGACAAAGACACGTAGTTTTTATTCCGTCCTTTCCCAGGGTAGACAGCTCCTCTGTCAGAGCTTTGTGAAATCCAACTGCAGCAAACTTGCTTGAACTGCGGGAGGGGGAAAAAGCACAAATGAGAAGAGAAGGCAGAAATACTATTTCTAGCTTTCTACAAAGGGAAATGGCCTAAAAGATCACACAGTACTGACTAGGAGGCAAAAAGAAAATGTAATCCAGCTGAGAAGAGAGGGCAGGGAATAATTCTAACCTTCCCTGTGCCAGAGTGTAGTGCTGGATTAGATATTGCTGCTTGGGGGAGTAATTGTGGCATGCAGAGTGGGTGTCTTTCAGAAAAAGTTGCCTTAGCTGCAAACAGACAGATGAACGTCAGGAATTCTTAGAAAATGGTAACTAATGTGCCTCAATCGATGGACTTCCCGTTTTTCCCATGTGAGAAGAGTCTCAGAAGGAACGCAGCCTGAATCTCTAAAATTAAGAAGGATGGGCAGGGTAGAAATGGAGAACAACCCTCTACTGTTTCTCGTGCCACACAGGAGCGTCTTGTGACACTCGCGTGTGAGTTTTGAAATAGAGGAGCATTATGCGTGCAAAAGTTGAGGAACTTACTGCCACAGAAATTGGTGCAGGCCAGGAGTATAAATCAACTTCAAAGAAAGTTGAACCAGAGAATCAGTTTACTGACTGCTGTTGATTTGAACAGTGTAATCCCAGTAAAATCCCTGGCTGGGGAGTTCTCACGTTGCCGACAGCGAGCGACTCTCTAAGAAGGAGCGTTCCCAGGGGAAGATTGCTCCGCCTGGAGCTGCTATTATAGAGGGCTAGATCTGACACAGAATGACAAAATGCAATCTAACAGCTTTTCTGTTCGTGCACCGTGACTCGAGTGCTTCTAGTAGAAATAGGCAATGCATCGACCTCTCAGTTGCATCAGTTAGGTTGCTCACAACACAGTAAGCATCGTCATGTTTTTGCCTTCTGAAAGGTAATTTTGCAGTCAAAAAGCAATTTTATCTCACGATGGCAGAAGTATTTCTATACACTAGTCACTACCACAATGGTAGAAAGATCAAAAGCTACTCATTAGGGGTTTACTTGACAACACTACAACAACTCACAGGAGTGCTACTTTCTAAGAATGACAAGGGAAGAGGATACCTTTTTTGCCAAGCAAAAGTCTGGATCAGTGAGGGAGAGAAAAAAGAAGCTTGCATTAGCTGATGTGTCACATGACTATTCCTTCATACAAGCATTGCTCCTGATTCAGTCAGAGCTCATAAGCAAATCGGCAGGAACTTCCAGGCATCCTTAAGTGCTGGCTGTTGTGCTCTTTTCCTCCTTGGCATGGTCCTTTGGACGTACCGTATTCAGCAGGAGGACTATTTCGGTTACTCTGTGCTTTCTGATGGAGAAGACGCAATTAAAAATAAAAAAAATGAAGAGAGCCGATTTTAAAATCACTTACCAGTAAGCCACCATGAAAGAAGTCACAAAATGACCTGCTGCCGAAGCCACCGTGACAACGTGACCGTGGTTGTTGTTCATCATGGTTGGTAGAAAAGCTCTTGTGGTCTTGAAAGTCATGGAAACCAAGAGGCAAACATGGGGGCGGGGGTAGAGGAGGAAAAGAACAATGTTTTCTTAGGCAGATTCAACACTGACCCTGAAGTCGACTATAAACAGGAGCCGATTCTCACATCCTTCCTGTGCCGCTTTTTAGGTTTCAGGTGTCAGCGGCAATGCTGCCAGTGTCTCACCCCAGCACGTACAATAAAACACTCGCTCAGCAATCTGTAGCATCTCTTTTCTTCTGCTGCAAACAACAAGTCCTTAACAGCTGAAACCCTCCCACTCTGTAACCCCTGCTGGCAGCTGCCCTACCCCAGGGGTCAGCTGCAGGCATGCCAAAGACCCAGGGCTCAGCTCTGATAGGGCCCAGCTGTGTCACCTTGACTCAGGCTGCTGGGAGAAAG